TCCCTCCTCTCCCCTCACACCTCTCATTTCCTCTCCCTCATACATCATCTCCTCCACCTTTACGTAACTCCCAGCCAAAAATGTCCATCGCATATGCCTTCCCTTCTCCTCCTCTTTCTTCTTGTCTTCTTCTTTTCCTACTCTTTTTCTTCCTCCTTTCTTCTTCTCCGCTTTATTCCTTCAAATAATTTTTCCATTTCTTCCTCCCTTCACTACTTCCTCTTGTTTTCTTCTCCCCATCCCACTGCCCTCCCCATATACCCACCACCCACCCCTATACCCACCACCCACCCCTATACCCACCACCCGTCACTCACTCCCCCTGACACCATCCATCTACAACAAACACCAAAAATAACTTCTCCAAACACCTTATCTTTATTATCGTGTTTTCTTTTAACCTCACTTTCCTCCCCCTCGTCACCTTCCCTCTCCCCCCGTCCCCTTCCTCTCCTCGTCACCTTCCTCCTCCTCCTCGTCACCTTCCTCCCCCCGTCACAGGAGTCCCAGCACCTCCTTGACCAAGTATAGGAGCCTTGTTATAACGGAAGTATAAGATCTTGGTGTTATACATATAAGAACCTGTGAGACTGAGAGGGTCCCCCACCGCTCTCACCATTGGTCTTGATCAGTAGTCCCCCAGCCTGCGGTTTGAGAGTCGCATGCGGTCCCCGAATCGTTTTTTTTGTGCGGCCTTCGAATTAGATAAAAAAATGTATATTGCGGTGCGCATTCAGTTAAGAGAGTGGTAAGGAGTAATTTCTGACACTATGTTGAGCGGCTTGTAGACCAGTGTGCCCTAGTTAGTGAAGCGGTGGTATACGATGGGGTCTCAGGTACTCAACACAATGACCAACACAGGTTTGCCGACATACCGTATGTGATAATGTGTGACGGTGACTCAAGACGACGTCACACAGGTAGCTATAAGCATTAAGGTCCGCGCGTGTGTGTGTGTGTGTGTGTGTGTGTGTGTGTGTGTGTTGGGCACTTCTGGTCGGGTGCCACAGAGGGTGTGGCAACATCACAGGTGCCGAGACAAACTCACTCGTAGCTGGTCAAGTCATATATATAAACCTGTTGTCAGCCAGATATAACAGTTTTATGATACTTTATAGAGATAATTTTGTATTTACTTGGTAGGAAGACATCTGGCCACACGGTACCAAACACTTAGGTAATTTTGGTAGGAAATATTAATTGTTTTTTCACAGTTAACCATTTAATTACTCATCTCACGTATATAAAAACAGTGTAAATTAAGTCACCTCCTGGATGACCTTCACTTGTGGTTCCTGTTTCATTTCTTCATTTGGGTCTAACTAGTCTTCTATCCTGGTCCTAGTTATTACAGGTGCTGAATAACCAAGTTACTAATAATATAAAGTTGTCAGGACATACACAGATGTTCACACAGTAATACAGAACCTTTGCCCAAATGATCTTGAAAAAAGGAATTATATCACACATGTCTATTGATCAAGATTAATTTGTCTCTTTGATAACTGTAAAATGTGACCGCGCCCATATACCAGGAGAGAGAGAGAGAGAGAGAGACCTTTTAGATCTGAGCCTCATCAGCACACCACCTTTAAGTGTAGCCCTCATCACACGCCTGGCCATGGTGCTCCTCACCACCTGGCCATAAAGAGTGGCTCATCACATCATGACCTTTTAGTGTAGCCTCATCACACTGCCATAGAGTGACCCTCATCACACACCTGGAGTGTGGCTCTCATCACACACCTGACCTTTTAACCCTCATCACACGCCTGACCATTAAGTGTGGTCCTCATCACACACCTGGCCATTAAGTGTGGTCCTCATCACACGCCTGACCATTAAGTGTGGTCCTCATCACACACCTGGCCATTAAGTGCGGTCGTCATACAGGCGCACACACCCTACACACTCACTCTTTACACACTCACACAGCCTTGACACACACTCACACTCAGCCTTGACACACACTCACAGCCTTGACACACACTCACATTCAGCCTTCACACACACTCACATTCAGCCTTCACACACACACACACACACACACACACACACACACACACTCACACTCAACCTTTACACACACACACACACACCTGGCTTATGACTAATTAGCTTCAATCTTTTCCTTAATAGAACATATCCGAGTCAATTCTATGTTAAATATTTCACTCTGCCTCAGGTCCACTGCAGGGTAATTCACTTTCCCTGGACACACTCTTCCCCCTTCATTAACTTATTTCCCTTATTCACCCCTTATTAACTGCCCCCTCCCCAATCAGTAAACGTTAATATATTGACTGGCTAATCCCTACAATCATACTGAAACTCTCTAGAAAATAAATCCCTTTCCAATCATTCCTAATAAAAAATTTCTCCGATTTATGTATGATTAATCCCCCTCCCTCAATCCCCCTTTCATCTCATTACTGCCCTCACTCCCTCACTCCCACCCGTCATCCCCCACTCCCGTCATCCCCACCCCTCCACTCCCATCCATCCCCCCACTCCCTTCTAACCTCACCTCGTCTAGAGAAAACGGGAGAGAGAGGTGTGAAACGGGTGTGGCCTAACTATCATAAACGAGAACGGACAGGTCGAGGCTGGTGTTATTCACGACACGAGACGGGGAATTCGAGCGATAGTTGACTACATGAATGTTAATGTTACCAGCCCCTTCCCTCCACACACACACACACACAGTACCACCACACCACCACACACACTGCAGTACTACTACCACACCACCACACACTGCAGCACTACTACCACAACTACCACAACTACCACACACTGCAGCACTACTACCACACCACCACACACTGCAGCATCACCACCAAGGTTATCCTGTCTTTGTTTATGTCAGGATTCTCAAGAGTTCGTAAGCTGATTTCCCCTCCAACTAATTGGGAGTTAAGAGAAGTTTCCACCACCACTATCACCACCCTGGCCAGTTTGTTTGTCCAGAAGAATCATCAAAGTTCCCAAAGATAATTTCTACGCTTTTCCTAATTAAGGGGTTATGGAAACATAAGTTTGATGATGTGGGATTTTTTCCTACAGCTGAGAAATTTGCAGTCCAACATATCCATATTAACGTCTTCCACAAAAATATGACAAAAAGCGCGCCAAAACCAGGGCGTAATGGAGCAAATCCAAGATATTGTGGAGTAAATCCATCTACATAAACACCGGGGGAGGGAGTTTCCATTCACATGAAGAATAATCATTATAAAGAATGTACCTTACGTCATACACGGGAGGCGGGCTCCTACATCCGGCACCCACCGTGTGCAACCGGTTTCAAGGTCGTCTGAGGGAGCGGGGAGGGGCCGAGAGCTGGGTTACCAACTCGAACAATAACTCCTCTTTTCCTGATCATCTACAGCCTCCTTCAAAATGGCAAACATATCCACAACAATACTTGGAGCTCCTCACACACTTCGCCATACATTGTGTCTTTCGGCTCTGCGTGTAATATATGAGGGAGAGAGGCCATTATATAAGCGGAATACGTGAGATATTTTTAGGCGGTGGTCCAGCGACACGCGGCACCCCGTCTTGGCCAGAATCAAGGCCGGCCGCAGGGAAAATCGATTTCAGCGGTGTGCGGCCTTCAACGACCGGCCGTCGTGTCACTGCATGACCGGAGGAGCTTGTCCGCCATGCACCTACAACACAACACCCGTGTACCCGTAGTGTACCTGTTATTCACAGGTGGGCGCCAAAAAAAGTGTGAGAGCCACTTGTGTCTGGTGTTCGATCAGTGAGCGTGGCCACAACTGCGCCCTCGGTGCCGTGTTGGCTTTCGTTTTTATAATTATAACCATATAGCACACGGGGCCCCCACACTGACACTCGGCTCATGTAACACACATACAAGTATACTTTAGACACACTAAACAGCAGTACAGTACATAACAATGATGAACAGAAATGTAATCTATTTTTTCAGTAAATATTTCATTCATCTAACATAATTTGCGTTTTCAGTCTGTCCTCCTCCCTCCTTCCTCCACACTGTGGGTTGACCTTGAATGCTATACTAAAAACAAACCCCAAAAAGCTGCCTCCGCCACCATAACCCCCTACACTGCATGCACATGTTCATACTCAGGTCTGAGGGGAGGCCAGCCAGCCATTCAAGTCACCCCTCACCCCACTAGGACTACAGAAAACGGGTATAACGAGACTCGATAGAAAACGAAGGATATAATTAGGTGCCGCCCGCTAACTGGAGGCGGCGAAAAATATGCGCCACAGCCGTGAGTTATGGCCCACACAACTCAATCTCATAAACAACACTTAACATAAATTATAATTATCTCCTCAACTAATATTTCTGGAGGTAACCAATCTAAATATACGCGACATAAAAACCCCCACCCGAAAGACACAGATTTTTTACACACGATATTTATCATTTTTTATCAACCACCTACACAGACACAAGACAAAATAATCACCACTCCGACAGTCTTCTTGCCTGCCTCAGCCACAGATCAGCTAATTCAACAGTTGGGTCAAGACAGTTTAAGTTTTCGATAATAAATTATATCACCAGTATATTATCTGTTTGTTGCTGTATTAAAATGACCTAGAAAATAATAATATATACCTCGTCCAAGATGCTGTTATCGACATTAAAATATAAATATATAAGTAATTTACCTTAATAATGTACTTAAAAAACTTACCTTAACAACTTACCTTAACTGCTACTTTACTTTACTTACTTACTTACTTACTTAACTTTATCATAACCTTTCATTTTATTCCATCTTATTACTAGACCTTAATCACCAATAACCTCTTCCTCTCTTCATTCTCTTTAAATCTTACTTAAACTCTCTCTCTCTCTCTCAAATATTCAATCCAAAAGGCTCAAAATCGTAATAAATAAAAAATAAATAAATAAAAACCTAACCTAACCTAACCTAACCTGACCTAACCTAACCTGACCTAACCTGACTTGCATCTAATTCGTAAACACTGACCTTAGTTGTCTATCGAAGCCTGGTAGTTGGGCATCAGTGACGGGCGAGGCCATTATTAGGTCTTGAGGGTAGAACTGGTCAAACTCGGAGGGCTCAGGGGAGGTCACCACCAGGGGCTTGGAGCTCTCATAGAAGGTCACTCTCACTTTAGAGGCGGGCTTCTGCTGGGTGCCTGTCTCCGTCCTGCCAGGGGGGGAGGAAGAGGAAGATGTTCAGTGATATTGTTGGGGACGGAGGGGATGGATAAAGGAAGGAAAGAAAGAAAGAAAGAAGGAAGGAAGGAAGGAAGGAAGGGAGTGGGAGGTGGAATATACAAATAAAATAGATAAATAAAGGGTTGGGGGAGGGGAGGGGAAAGGGATGGTTGGATAGATAAATAAATAGTAAGGAGGGATGGATAGAGCAATGGATTGATGGACATAGAGAGAGGGAGGTAAGGAGGAACAAATGGATGGAGAACAAGACATGTAATTAGCGTGGGAGAGAGAGAGAGAGTATAGAAGAGCGTGACAGATGTAGGTGTGTTTTAGGGGACAGGTGTGGTACAGGTGTGTGACAGGTGTGTGGATCAGGGTAGGTCAGGTAACACAAAGGGAGAGAGACAATTACATAGAGTGGATAAGAGAGAAACATCGATATAATGAAAGGAATATAACGTATAGGAAAAGAAGAAGACATATATGAAAACCAAATGAAAAGAATGAACGTGATTGATAACTGAAGGAGATGGAAAAAGAACGAGAAAATTTGGTTCATTCATATACACACATACACACAACAAAACGTTCCAGCTTATAGAGATTATTTGAGAATTAAAAATAAACAGTAAATAGTAGATAAAGAGGAAGGAACCGATAAAAACAGAATGTACACACACACACACACACACACACACACACACACACACACACACACACACACACACACACGCAGGCCAGATCAGAGACGCCGTCGTTGTCATAGAGACTTGGAGAAAAATAAATAGGAGTATAAGCGACGGGTTGGCATCTCGGGAATGTTTACATTTGTGACGTCATGGTGATGGAGGTCCCAAGACGTCCATAAAGATAAAGTGTAATAATAATCAAGAGTAATAAGATTAGCAGTAATGGAGGTAATAACATTAACACCAATAATAATAATATAATAATAATAATAAAAGGAATAATTAGATTAGTACATTCATAAAAATACAAATAATAATAACAACAACAATAATAATAATAATACCAATAATAATAATACCACCACCAACAACAATAACAACAACAGTAACAATAACAATAATAATAAAGTCAGGTATATATTTATGACCTTGCTGTATCACACAACGACATAATATCACAAAGTACAAACCTAAGAAGCAGAAAGAACACACTGGAAGGAACAAGGTTACGAGGTCAAATGAGACACTAACGCTTGAGAAATAGAGCAGCGAGGTCAGGAGGTCAAATGAGAGGCTTAGTACGTGGATATAGAACATGGTCGTGTGCTCAAAACAAGGTCAAGTCAAATGAGAAGCTAATACGTGTGTGTGTGTATAGGACAAGGTCAAGGGGGTCAGGTGAGGTTGTGTGGTGAGGGGAAGGCAGTCGTCACGCTACAAGGAGACAATGACTAGGTTGAGACTGATGGATGAACGGTATAAGTTAAGGGTGAATATAGTTTTGTGGTATATTAAAGTTCCTCCTGGCTCCACCTCCATCCACACCCCACATACACACACCTCCCCTCCTCCTTCTCCCTTCCTTCCCTTCAACCTTTCTTCCGTTTTCCTCTCTCTCTCTCTCTCCCTCTTTCCTCATCCCTTTCTTTCCTCACCGTCTCTCTCTCTCTCTCTCTCTCTCTCTCTCTCTCTCTCTCTCTCTCTCTCTCTCTCTCTCTCATCTCTTTCTTTCCTCACCGTCCCTCTTCTCTCTATCTTTCTCTCTTCTCTCTATCTCCTTTTCTTCCTTCTTCCCCTCATCTCAGCTCCACCCACCCGCTACTACAGACACTGATCTTGCAACACAACAGTACAGCCCAGGAGTGAGGCATTACACTGTATTGTACACTCCGAGGCAGAGACCACCATGTTCTGTGTCCCTTAGTATCATGCAATGAGACAACACTGCACTGCTACAACACAATGTACGATCACACCTGTCAGCGGTTAGCAAATGTTAAACACCAATGTAGTGAGATGTATAACACGAGAAACTATTAACAGTCACATTGAGAGTATTATATCAAGTGAATGTTATGCTTTTGCTGGTGGTTCTGTGTAGACAAACACAGGTTGTGCAGGTGTAATATATATATATATATATATATATATATATATATATATATATATATATATATATATATATATATATATATATATATATAAAGAAAATAAGATGATAGTGTCAAACATGGAAAGGCTAAACAACTGGGCCAGCACCACACAAACTGAACTAATGGGAATCTACTTAGCTACAGACTACCTTAAAGAAAATGGAGGTGGGGTAATTTTCTGTGACTCTCAACGTGCTTTGAAATCAATGAACAGACCGTCAGGGTCTATGTCTAAAGTTGTCTGTGATATTAAAAGAATGTGATAACTGCTAAGGAAAACAACTTTCGCATTGAATTTGTGTGGATTCCATCCCATGTTGGAATTAGGTATCATGACTGTGCTAATAGGCTGGCCAATGAGGCATGTAAGAAAGGAAATGTTGACCGTGACCTTGGCCTGTCCAATGCTGTACTTAAAAACATATAAGTCAAAATCAAGAACTCTGATCTAGAAGAAATGAGAAATACACAGAGACCTGACAGTTGTAGCATTAGTAAATGTTACAGATTTTGTGACAAGGGGTACCGGTATGGCCAGCATAAGGACAGAACCGGACAATGTGATGTAGTCGTGGCCAGAATTAGGCTAGGATACAGACACATCTGGCAAGTTAGTAACGCTGTACCCATACTGGAACACTCAGCATGTAAACTTTGTGATAAACCTTTAAAGCATACACTTGAACACTATATTATTGAATGTGACACTGTCAAAGACTTCAGGCCACCTGGCTGATTGTATCATGAACTATGTAATTATTATAATAAATGCTTGAGGACATTCTTGCTCTCTATCCAACTTTTACTAGTCAACACTGATTAATCCTCAAATAGAATATAACACAAATGAATATGACCTATTACTATCTCCTTTGTGTATGAACCTCTGTCCTGCGTGGCAGTGAACAGTGACAGCACCCTCAGTGTCAAGACCTGACTGAACTATTCAGAAAAGGCAAATTGTACCTAAATTTTGTCAATATAATTGTTAAAACTAAAAAAAAACTACACTTCCAGAGATAAATACAGGTACAGGTAAAGGTACATGTTGTACAAAAAGTGCAAGTGAAGATACAAAATACAGGTGGTACAGAGACTTCAGAATAACGGTAAACAGACATTTATTTACGAACATGGTATACAATGTATACTATACATTATTGGGTTGAGGTCATCTTATATATTGAGACAATAACACACGTCTTATTCTATCTTGATGATAAACACACTGGTTGATCACTTCACGCACTTACCTGATTTATGATCTGTTGATGTACTTTTCTGTGTTTTTTAAGGCGCAACACAAAAAACTTACATCCCCTCACCTACCTATCAATCGACACACACACACACACACACATACAAAATAGCGTTTATCCCAACACCCACACGCTTCAGTGTTCCTCTGAATTTGCAGTTACAGACATCGCCCACACGCGCCCCTCCTGCTGACAAAATGCATTCTTTCAACCAGGGTACACCTCGCTACAGCCCCCCCCCGGTAGTAAAGCACACGGTGTGGCATTAGCTAGGAGGGATGTATTAAGAGAGGCCGCAAATAGTTGAAAAGTTACATCACTAATGGTACGGAGGAGAGAGAGAGAGAGAGAGAGAGAGAGAGAGAGAGAGAGAGAGAGAGAGAGAGAGAGAGAGAGAGAGAGAGAGAGACGTCACTGTAACAAGACCCTAGCGTGACAAGGTACAGTCTAGAAAGTCGCTAGACGTTAGCTGGTGCCTGGTGGTCGCCGGGCTGACTGGCGCGGACTCACGTCAACTTGTGCAGGAGTGTGGCACTCTCGTGGCGCCCTGGCCTTAACTTAGCCAGGCGTTGAGGCGTGGTGGCCCTCCTCCAGGCGAAACGCGGGGGCGTGGCTCTCCAGGCCCGTGACACGCGCCCCAGCAGACGGGATGTGAGGGTGACGTTGGTGCTGGTGAGGGAGCCCATAGTCACGGTGGACTGGTCGTCACCACCACGGGGAGGAGCACGTTGATAATGTACCGGGCTGGGGGACACATCCTTACTACTCCTCTGTTGGTGGACTACCTCACCACCTCGCTCCTGGAGGACGACGAGTTTTGCTCGCGATGAACATGTTGGTTGCCACTCCGGCCTATCGGGCTTCACCTGACCAACCCTCGACACAACGGCTGAAGTCGACACCAAATCAAAGGACTGTTGGTGAGTCAGGTTTGTCGCTCCCTTGTCCACTCCCTCAAACCCGCACTGTTGGGTCGACGGGGCACTGCTGCTGCCATCTTCATCTTCCGCGCCGCCGACAGAAGGCTCCTGACTGAGGCTCCAAGTAGTCATGATGCGAGTCAGTAGTGTTGATCACAACCATCAGTGATGACTAGTGGAGCACCGTGAGCATCAGTGTATCCTCTCTTAGTCTCTGGGTCATGGTCGACCGCAGAGCTACAGTTTCCCACAGTTCTCGCGTCTCTGTCTTCCTCAGTTTGTTTTAGTAACTCGTAATTTTGACGTCCTGGGAGCCACGATCAGTGTTACACCACACTACCACAACCCAGCTGTTACATCTACCACACACCAGTGTCAGTCAACTCTTCGGTCATCTAGTACCGAGAGTAAAGCTCCCTTGAGAGCCTTAAGCTGTCTATAAACTTCTTCCTTCGTTTAACAACTGTCATATATTGGTCTCCAAGTAGCATTGGTGTCATTAGAGACGATCACAAGGCACCCCTGGGAGACTCCACACCGACCCTTCTGATATGTGGTGCAGAAGGTAAATCTCAACAGAGGCGGGTCAGGTTTCCTCACACACGTCACGCCCCGCACTGTTGTTCTCACAGTCGTCGTAAACTGGTGTGTGGTGTTGACCGTCACTGTTATTGGTCTTCCACCT